CGGGGAAATGGAGCTGAGTTACTGATTTTTTAAATTAGCGATCGTATCGGTGCCTGGGCGGCAAGTTTCCGTCCGGATTTTGTATCCCCGACCCGGGCAGGGCGATCCCCGCAGCTGCATCTGCAGAAGCAGAAAACCATAATATCTCTCAGTTAGTTACAGAGGACACTTAATTAACGCTGCTTTGACTTCCCACGGTGGGGAAGAAGACTGTCCAGGTCCTGCTGAGGAGGATGAAATGGGGTCTGAGAGGAGGGAAATTCTTCATTTCCTTACACTTTCTGCTGGATTATATTTTCCATCGTCCCCTTGTGCTGCCGTGGGGTAGTTCTGTGGATGCACAGGGAGCTGCTCACCCTCCCTCCCACCGCAGCTGCTGCAAGGGAAGGAGAAAACCAGCGAGGGAGTAAAATAACCCCATGGGATGGGACGGGACGGTGAGAAGTGTGAGGGCAGGGAGGTGAAGAGGACCTTGCTGCTGAGCCGGGTGCAGCAGGGGGGCTGGCAGGGGAAAAAATGAGACACAGAAAGTGCAGGAGTGCCTTTTCTTCCTGCTTTCTGTCAGCACAGCTCCCAGGTCGCTCCCCATGAGCATCCCGAGCTGCTTTCCCTGTCCCGCTGCTCCACACCGGCTGCACCCGGCTGGTTCAGGTTCCCCTGTGCCACGGGAGGTTTTCTCCTCGCTGGAGCTCCCCTGTGTGTGCCACGGGCCACAGTCACTCTGACAAAGTCACAACGTCCTTTGCATCACTATAGGGCTGTGCAAGAGGACCCAGACCCCGGGGATGGGTAATTCTGCCCAGAAGTGCCACCAGAGCATGTTTGTTTCCCCTTTGGGGCTGATGGTCTTGTCTCTGTCTGACTTCAAGGCGTTGGAGAAGCAGCATCGGCTGCAGGAGAGACAGCATGGCTCTGCCCAACGGCTCCTGGCCGAACGGCTCAGCCCCTCTCTTCACCGGCCTGGACCTTCTCTTGGAGCTGAAGCCCCTCTTCATCCCACTCTACGCCACGCTGGTATGCATGGGGAACCTCTTCCTCATCCTCCTCATCGCTCTCACCAAGAAGCTGCACTGCACCACCAATTTCCTGATCGGGAACCTGGCAGTGGCCGACTTCATCATGTGCCTTGCCTGCGTCCCCCTCACCGTCTCCTACGCCTTCGAGGTGCGGGGATGGCTCTTCGGGATGTTCATGTGCTACTTTGTCACCTTGATGCAAGCCGCCACCGTCTTTGTGTCAGTGCTGTCCCTCACCGCCATTGCGGTCGACCGATACATCGTGGTGGCGTACCCGATCCGCAGGAGGATAAGCCGCAGGTCCTGCATCTGCCTCGTGGCCTGCATCTGGTTCCTCTCCATCATGGCCTCTGTTCCCACCTCACTGCACACCCACTACTTGGACCTCAACACCATCGGGCACGACATGATCATCTGCGAAGAGTTTTGGAAGCACGAAGAGAGGCAGCGGCTGCTGTACTCATGTTTGATGCTCCTCTTGTCCTACATGCTCCCGCTTTTGGCAGTATCAGTCTCCTTCTGTGCCATCACCTACCACCTGCGGAGGAGGAACGTTCCGGGCGCTGCCCAACCCTGCCAAGACAAATGGACCAAAACGAAGCAGAAGACCTTCCGGGTGCTCACCGTCTCGGTGGTGTGCTTCGCTGTCTGCTGGCTGCCCCTCCAGGTGGTGAATTTCATCAGAGACATCGATGAGGAGTTCACCATCCTGGACAAGAGGTACGTCAACGTCATCCAGGTCTCGTGCCACCTCGTCGCCATGAGCTCCGCCTGCTACAACCCTTTCATCTACGCCGCCCTCCATGACAAGTTCTGGTTCCACCTCAGCAGCTGCTTCTACCGCAAGAAGAGGAGCTCCAACATGACGTCCTGCAAGGCTTCTCGATTCAATACCTGCTCCACCCTGGCAGATGCTCCTACCGGCATCTCGGATAAGATAGCTTTGCAAACTAGATTCTCTTAACTGAAGGACCCTGCAGGATCCGTTTTGCTTTTGAACCGGGTGTGCACTTTGCTGGAAGTAGGGGGTGGCGGGGACGCTGCTGTCCCCGGGAGAAGTCTCTTGTGCCTGGTGAGGAGAGTGAGCGCCAGGGAACAAACTGAGGGGCTTTGTGTCCTCCAGGGTGC